AATTCCATGAATAGCCTTTGCCTTGGGTGACTGATCCCAACAAAAGAGATGCTTCAATCCATTGTTGTTGTTGTTGTTATGTGCCGTCGAGTCGGCCCCGACTCATAGCGACCCCTCCTTGGGTTTCCGAGGCAGTATCACTACGGAAGTAGGATTGCTTCAATCCATGGATGTCTTTTATCCCATCCAGAAGCCAAAGATTTCTTACTTTCTCATTTATCGCCTTTCTCCCAAAACCACATATTTCAGTGAGTCTGGGCCATTGTAGCAAATCCCACCATTCTGACAACAATTGCTTGAACAATTTCTCTCAGAAAGATCAGCACATAGCCAGTCCTCATGAGGCAGAGGTTAAAGATGTTCCAAATGTGCAAACTACCATGCCACACCATCATTTCAGACATGAACTCCTCCTCCTCCTCCCAATAATTTCCCCCATCTTAGGGTTCTGTATTTTGCTGCAATGCTTCACAGAACTCACAGACACCCAAGGGATCGTCTCATGCAGTAGTGGTGGAACCCGGCAGGCTGGCGAGTCCCAGGTCTGTGGGTGTGTCTGGAGGATCCTCCCAATTCTCAGAGTTTGATGAACCTTGATCAGCAGATCAGATGACAGCCACTGTCCCAAATCCAGGGGTGAGATGACCATGAGCCAAAACACAAAACCAGAGCCAGAAGAGGGTGAACCTTCCAAGGAGATTCATAGGTATGCCCTCAAGGAAGCTAAGGGTGATGATTTTAATTATACCTTCCAGCAAGACAGGACTCAAGATGCATTGCACCTATGTTGCTCCAACAGCAATAACCTAAGTGGATGAGTTTAACAATCAGCAGCTCAAGGCAAATCCCATCACAGAGCTGATTGCCTGTCATTATAGGGAATGACTACTACCAGCTGCCCAGCCAAGCTGATACTTCATCTTAACTACCACACCACCCCAAACAGGCATGGATAATAGGATTTATAATACATCACAGAGTGGAGGACAATGGCTAGAAGGGCTACATCAAGCAATTCACAAAAACACCCATGTTTATATCAGCACTATTTACAGTAGCCAAAAGATAGAAACAACATAGGTGTCCATCAACAGAAGAATGGATAACCAAACTATGGTACAGACATACAATGGAATACTATGCAACCATAAAGAATAACATAAAAACTGCAAAACACTGCATAATGTGGACAAACTTGAGGACATTATGCTGAGTGAAATAAGTCAATCACAGAAGGACACATATTGTATTAGGCCCTTATAGTAAAAAGTCAATGAGAGGTTTACATATGGAAGGAAATTTTCTTTGTTGGTTATCAGGGGTGTGTGTTGCGGGGTTGGGGAGCACTGTCAGATAGGTAGAGACAAGTATTAATTTGGGTGAAGAGAATGGCAATGCACCAAATATGAGTGATCAACATGGTGACATTGAGGAAGAGGAATACATAGAGAGGTACGTGGGAAGTACAGAATACAAAGATGAACACTTTTGCACATATAGTACTGCGTTGTCAGTGAAGGGAAACATGGATCTATAGGTGAATAGATGGGTGCACAGGCTGAACTATTAGGTATGACTATTCAGCGGGGAGGAGCTCTGGTAGCATAGTGCCTAAGGCACTTGAGTGCTAACCAGAAGGCTGGCAGTTCAAACCCACCAGCCATTCCTCAGAAAGAAGGTTGGGCAATCTACTTCCATAGTGATACTGCCTTGGAAACTCAAAGAGGGATAGCTATGAGTTGAGTCCGACTCCACGGCACATAATAACAACAACAACATGCAGGGGGGAGTGTGCCCAAGACCATGTATATGATTGGCAGACAGTGTTTCTACAAATGTATTGGTATGTTCTGTAAAAATTCCCAGGTATATAGTAGAGCTGACAAGGGGCAAGGTTGTCGTCACTTCTTGGCCACAGCCAGTTACCCAGAGGAAGCAAGTAGTTGGACCTGTGGGCTCGGGACCATAGTTGCAGGGGACATCGAGCTCAATTGGCATAATATACTACACAAAACATTGTTCCACATCCTACTTTGGCGAGTAGTGCTGGGGATCTTACAAGCTTGCAAGCGGCCACCTAGATGCAGCAATGGGTCTCTCCTCCTCCAGAGCAAAGAAGAATGAAGAAAACCAAAGATTCATGGAAACAATTAGTCCAAGCGACTCATACACCATACTACCCTTAGCCTGTATGACTATGAGACCAGAAGAACTAGGTAGTGCCCAGCTACCACTGTCAACCCCTCAGAGGGGATCTATGTAGGACATCCTGGATAGAGTGGGAGAAAAATGTGGAACGAAACTCAAAATCATTTGGGGGAAAAAAAAAAAAATGTACCAGGTTTGCTGGTCTGATAGAGCCAGATGGAACCCCTGAGACTATGGCCTCTATCTGTCCTTCAGGTCTGGAAATGAACCCACTCCTGTGGCTTCCAGCCAAACAAAAGACAGGCATATGAGCTAAACATTTACACTAGGTAGATACACTCCTTGGAGACAACAATCAGGGGAGAATAGAAGGGCTGCTTATGCACAGGGAGACAGCTCAGGGTGTAGGAGTGCATGAAGGGAAGAACACAAGGATGATAACTATGGGAAGGAGGTGGGAGGGGATCTGTTGCATTGTGGCAAATTGTAGTCAATGTCATGAGACAAAGTGTATGTGAATTGCTATATGGAAAGTGAATTTGCTCTGTAAATTTTCACCCAAATCAAAGTAAAAAAAAAAAAGACCATGGTGGTGGTTGCACCAGCTACACTGCACTGTGTATATACAAACAACCATGGAATAATATACTTTATTTTTTTAACTTTTTGTTATGAAAAATTTACCGAGAAAATAAGTTTTTCATTCATCAATTCATACACATTTTGATTTGTGACACTGATTGCAATCCCCACAACATAAGAACACTCTTTCCAACTCCTCCCCTCCCTGTTTTCTGTTTCCATTCCTCCTTCCTTCTTTCCTAGCCCTTCCTGCCTTCTAAGCTTTATTCCTGGGGAACTGATGCCTCTTGATTTCGTATGGTTGATGTCTCTCAGTAGTGCATATCTCCCTGTTGTTTGTTGACCTTGTAGATCTATTGTTTAGTGAAATTTTAGCCACAGGGATAACTTCAGCTCCAGGATTGAAGGGTGACTAAGGGCCATAGTCTCAGGGATCTACCAGCCTCTATCAGACAAGCAATCCTGGTCTTTATTTTTATTATTATTATTATTATTTTGAGTTGTAGTCCACATTTTTCTCCCACTCTATCCAGGACTTTCCATTGCAATCCCTTTGAGAGCAGTTGTTAGTGCTAGTTGAGCATCAACTTGCCCTTCTTGTCTCAGAGTAGTGGAGGCTGAGATTTGCATGGTCCATTAGTCCTTTTAGGAGCTCTGGTGGCACTGTGGGTAAGGCATTTCGCTGCTAATCAGAGGTCGGTGTTTCAAATCCAATAGTTTTTCCATGGGAGGATATTGAAGCAATCTCCTTTCATAAAGATATGAGTCGGAATTGACTAAGTCAAAATTGACTATGAGTCAGAATAGACTATGAGTCAGAATGGACTCAATAGCAGTTGGTTTATTTTGAGTTTTTCATTTTGTTTTGCTTTGTTTTTATTAGTCTTTGGGCATTAATATTTACATGCGTCTTTGATTATCTTCATTCTTCTTTGCCCCAGACAGGCTAATAGTTGTACTTTAGATGGCCTCTCAAGCTTTTAAGACCCCAATGACTGCTCACTAAAATAGATATAGAACTTTGTCTTGGTGGACTATGTTATCGCAGTTGATCCTGATAACCCCCAAGACTATGGTCTTGAGCCCCGTGCTCCAATGTTCCCTCATAATGTTTGCTTATGGCTAAGAAGGTTCATAACTTTGCCCCCTGTATTCTCTACTAATTAATAGATACATTTGCCACACATATAACTACATATGTAGAAATATACTCCACCAAACTTATATATGTTTGTGGATATAGTCCCATTCACCTTCCCATACCTGTTTACTGTGCTTGTCTGTCTATGATACACTTGTAGATTGTTGTTATTACTGTTATTGCAAGATTATGTACATAATAGTGTTCATCTTTGCTGCCTTTAACTCATGTGCTCCTCTTAGTGTCTTCCTTTGCCTTGATCATTTTGTGCCGACCTCCCCTTTATTGCATATTGCCTTTCCCTTCACCCGTGTTAGTACATGTCTACCCACATGTCTTCACTCTCCCTTCCCCTTCCATGCTTACAAACAATCAAAGATTTTTTCCATGTGAAATACTTTTCTTGACACATTATAATAGTGTTCTCAAATCATATTTGTCCTTTTGTAGTTGACTAATTTCACTCAGCATAAAGTCTTCCAGGTTCATCCATGTTATGTTACATTTCACAGACTCATGCTTATTCTTTAACATTGAGTAATATTCCACTGTGTGTATGTACCATGGTTTGTTTATCCATTGATCTGTTGAGGGGCACTTAAGTTGTTTCCATCTTTTTGCTATTGTGAATGGTCACATGGTTGAATAGCACTCTTTAAATTGATAAATTGTTTCAAATATGAATTAAATGTCAATAAAGATTTTGTCAGAAACAGAAAGCTTTCATCATCATATTCCAAAAAAATGCCAATGGAACTGTATAATTATTTTGTCTTTAAATCTTGCATCAAAAAGACTGTAGTCACAAATGGTCTCATATGTGTCACAATTCTTAACACTATTATAATATCTATTATATAATACAGATGACACGCAAATGTTAGGTCATTGACTTTTAGCTCTATGATAGAATTTATGATAAAAGCGACATTAAGTGCACTCATATAAATACAAGGACATCTACTCTGTGTTCTTCGTACTTGGCATCCACTGGCTCTGCCTATTTGTATAATGTATTTACTCTGATACGTCAAAGTTGTATTTTAACTTCTTGATTGATTTCTCTGGGGTTATAAGTCAATGGCAGAAATGAATAACAGTTTGGAAGGAAGAATTTCAGTTAATCGTGATGTCTGCAAAGTGGATTTCAGTTCTTCTGCTGATCCAATTGAGTTGTTACTTTGACTCTGTAACATGTGGAAAAGTGTTGGTGTGGCCAACAGAATATAGTCATTGGATCAATATAAAGACAATACTGGATGAACTTATTCAGAGAGGACATGAGGTGACTGTTCTAACATCTTCAGCTTCCATTCTTATTGATCCTAACAAGTCATCTGATATTAAATTTGAAGTTTATCCTACATCACTTACTACACCTGACTTGGAGATTTTATTCATGAAATGGATCAAGAAAATGACATATAATATGCCAAAGGATACATTTTGGGCATATTTTTCACGACTACAGGAAATCTTTTGGGAATATTCTGATTGCATTGAAAGACTCTGTAAAGATGTAGTTTTCAACAAGGAACTTATGATAAAACTGGAAGAATCAAGGTTTGATGTTGTTCTTGCAGATGCCATTGGTCCTTGTGGTGAGCTGGTAGCTCAGCTACTGAAAATACCATTTTTGTACACTCTCCGTTTCAGTCCTGGCTATACACTGGAGAAGCTGAGTGGAGGTCTTTTAACCCCTCCTTCTTATGTACCTATTGTTCTGTTAGAGTTATATGATCGAATGACATTCGTGGAGAGGATAAAAAATATGATATATATGCTTTATTTTGACTTTTGGTTCCAAATATTTAATATGAAGAAATGGGATCAATTTTACAGTGACGTACTAGGTAAGTCATGTTTCCAGTTGTTAAGAAGATGTCCTAAATTTCTGTGTGCCTTTGAAGATGAGTTTGTGGAAACAAAAAGCCAGAGGAATTTGTTTTTCATAAGGGAAAGATAAAATGATCTATCAATATCACAAACATTGTAGAAAGCCTTCTATTTAGAATCAGTTAGAAGATCCCTGTAGCCAATCACTAGGAGAGAAAACTTCAGGAAGTCACAAACCTAAACATTAAGATAATTAAAATGTCCTTAATTAATTACATACTCATTTCATTGTGATTTTTATCCTTATAAAAGCCATTATAAACCTTAATGAATGTCTGGATGAACATAGACATGTAGACATCTAAAATTATAGACATATTTCTAGCTAACTATCTAAGTATCATTGAGAAAATTACTTCTCATGTAACTTAGTTTCCTTATTTATAATTTAAAATATTTTTCAATAATTACTTTTGAGGATTCATTTTCATTTGAGAAATATGGTAACTTTATTCCAGACAAAACCTATAATTTGTGTCTACAATATTTTATTGATCTGCTACCCAAATAACTATAATCAAAGTAATATAATTCTGCATAACTTGTGCCTAATGAATCTTGAATTTCTAATAATCCCACATTTCTTCACGAATTACTTAGAAATCATCAGTCTTACAACCCTATAATACTGTTGAAGGGTTGACATGCAAGTTCTTTGTCCACATTATTTCTAAAACTATGTCTTTCTATTTAAAAAAAAAAAAGTACCCAAATTCAAACTCAACACTTCACTGTATTTCCATAATTTAAAATATTTCCCAGCTATTAATTGCAAATTATTTTATTTAATAATCAAATATTATTTATGTCTTACCTTGAACCAAATGCAATAGGTAGAAGGAACTGAATCATAATCACAAAAACCTTACAGTTACTTAAAAAAACAAGTGTCAAGAGACTGTTTGCTAAATTGTAGAAACCAGATTCAGAACTTCTGGGAATGGTGTTTCCATGGGTATAGTAGAATTAATTGATTGAGGAGATCAAATTCTAGTTATTTGCAATTTTGTATCGCCACCAGCCACTCCTTGGAAGGAAGATAGGGCAATCTACTTCCATGGTGATACTCTCTTGGAAACCCAAGGAGGGGTCTCTATGAGTCGGGTCCAACACTATGGCACATAACAGCAAGCAACAAAAATCTGTTGGTTTTACAACTTTAGAAAAAAAAAATGCATTTAATTCTACAGTGGCATAGTTTAATAATTGTATTGTTTATGGTGGTGGATATACTGAGGTGATAGTATGGATTTAAATCTCCTCTCTCATTTTCAAATATCCTTGGCTCCACTACTGCAAGCTTCCTTTGAAACATTACCTGGGTATTCAGATGACAGTTCTCTCATGTTACCTCTACCTTTTGTTTGACATTTTCAGGAAGAGATACTACATTAATTGAGACAATGGGGAAAGCTGAAATATGGCTTATTCGAACCTATTGGGATTTTGAATTTCCTCGTCCATTTTTGCCACATTTTGAATTTGTTGGAGGGCTCCACTGTAAACCTGCTAATCCCTTGCCCAAGGTAATCCTATTATTGCTTGTTTTGTATTTGCCACTGAAAAGATTCTGTGTTCTTCAGTCAGAATGCTTAACTAAGCAAAAAGGATGCAAGAAGTAGGGTAAAGTGACCTGCAAATTAGAAACTCATATATATCCATTCTACCACAAATAGCTATAAAGACAGACTGAAAAGAGGCTTTGAGAATAGGATCTGATAAAGTAAAGCCTTCATTATTCAACAAGTTAAGAAAGTACCAGTCACCCATTCAAAGAATATTTTTAGAATTATTACCATATTCTAGGTGAGCTAGATGCTGGTTGGATATGCCGATAAACTGAACAGACATGGTTTCTGCCCACCCCTAACCACATCCACCACACATACACCTTATATTTTAGTTACTTACTTATATTTTATTGCTTACATTTTGGGGAAGTAAGTAATAAAAATAAAATGTGAAACGTATTATCACAAGGAAAGACCTAAATGCGAAGGGAACACCCAGCAGAGATCATAAAAAGTAACCACAGCCATGGATAATTAAGTTGAAACTGGTATGGGAATAGATAGAAGAGGTGAGGGAAAGAGGAACACAAAAAGAAAGCAACTAGACTAGTAATGGCAATTCCCAAGGACTCCTAGTCAAGCATGAAGAGGAATAAAGAGGTAGGTGATGTAGGAGAGATTAGTTGGAGCTCATAGGGGTACGAAACTTCTTTCAAGGCCATTGGGGAGCCAGTGGAAAGCATTAAACCAGGGAGAGAGATGATCAGATTTCTTTCCCTTAAGAAGCGCTTACTGGATTGGATTGTGGAGGAGAAAAACTGTGGAGTGCCACACCCCTTGGGAGTCAGTTACAGCAGATCCAGCACCAGATGATGGGAAAATGGGTGAAAATGTCATAGAGTGAGGACTATTCCTATAATGCTACCAACCCCATACGGTGCTTGTATGGAAAATATTAGTTATTGTCATTATTGGGTGCTGTCGATTCCTCTCCAACTCATAACAACCTTGTGTACAACAGAATGAGACACTGCCCAGTCCTGTGCCATCCTCATTATTCTTGCAATACCTGAGCCCATCGTTGCAGCCACTGTGTCAATCCACCTTGTTGAGGGCCTTCCCTTTTTTGTTGACCCTACACTTTACCAAGCATGATATCCTTCTCCAGGGAATGGTTCCTTCTTACAACATGACCAAAGTAGGTGAGATGAAGTTTCCCCATTCTTGCTTCCAAGGAACATTCTGGCTGCACTTCTTCAGGTATAGATTTCTTAATTCTTTTAATATTCCATGGTACTCTCAACATTCTTTGCTAACACCACAACTCAAAAGCATCAACTATTCTTTTGTCTTCTTTATTCTTTAGCCAGCTCTCAAATGCATAAGAGGCAATTGGAAATACCATGGTTTGGGTTAGGCATATCATACTCTCCGAGGAGAAATCTTTGCACTTCATCACCTGAAAGAGGTCTTCTGCAGCAGATTTACCCAGTGCAATACTTTGTCTGATGTCTTGACTTCTGCTTCCATTGGTGTTAATTGTAGAATCAAGTAATATGAAGTTCTTGACAACTTCAATCTTTTCTCTGTTTATCGTGATGCTGTTTATTGGCCAGCTGTGAGGATTTTTATTTCCATTATATTGAGGTGTAATCCATACTGCAGACTGTAGTCTTCAATCTTCATCAGTGAGTGCTTCAAATCATCCTCACTTTTCAGCAAGAAAGTTGTGTCATCTGCATATCACAGGTTGTTAATGACTCTTTCTCCAATCCTGATGCCATGTTCTTCTTCATATAATCCAGCTTCTCAGAATATTTGTTCACCATACAAATTGAATAAATAGGGTGAAAAGATACAACCCTGACATACTCTCTTTTTTTATTTTAAGCCACGCAGTATCCTGTTGTTCCATTTCACAGATAGCCTCCTGGTCTATGTACAGGTTCTTCATGAATACATTTAAGTGTTCAGCAATTTCCATTCTTTTCAATGTTATCCATAATTTGATATGGTCCACACAGTCAAAAGCTTTTGCATAGTCAATAAAATGTAAGTAAACATCTTTCTGGTGTTCTTTGCTTTCAGCAAAGATCCATCTGACATCAACAATGATATCCCTCATTCCCCATCCCCTTCTGAATCCACCTTGCATTTCTGGAAGTTCTCTATCAAGATACTGCTGCAGCTATTTTTGAATTATCTTCAATAAGATTTTACTTACAGGTGATATAAATGATATTGTTTGTTAATTTCCACATTCTGTGGGATCACCTTTCTTTGGAATATGTACAAATATGGATTTCTTGCAGTCAGTTGACCAGGTAGCTATCTTTCAAAACTCTTAGTATAACTGAGTGAGTGTGTCCAGTGTGGCATCCACTTGCTGAAACATCTCAGTGGGTGTTCCATCAATTCCTGGAGCCTTGTTTTTCACCAATTCCTTCAGTGTAGCTTTGACTTCTTCCTTCAGTACCATTGGTTCTGGATCATATGCCACCTCCTGAAATGGATAAACATCTACCAGTTATTTCTGAAACAGCAACTCTGTGTATTCCTTCCATCTTCTTTTGATGGTTCCTGCATCATTCAACATTTTGTCCATAAAATTTTTCTATATTGCAACTGGAGGCTTAACTTTTTTCTTCAGGTCTTTCACCTTGAGAAATGCCAACTGTGTTCTTCCCTTTGGTTTTTCTAACTCCAGGTCTTTGCACATATCTTTATAATAATTGACTTTGACTTTCCAAGCTGCTATTTGAAATCTCCTGTTCAGTTCTTTTGTCTTGTCATTTCTACCATTTGCTTTAGCTACTCTACATTCAGGGGAAAGTTTCAGAGTCTCTTCTGACATCCATTTTTGTCTTTTCTTCCTTTCCTGTCTTTTTAATGACCTTTTGTTTTCTTCACGGATGGTTTTCTGGATCTCATCCCACAATTCCTCTGGTTTTCAGTCATTGTTGTTCAATGTACCAAATCTATGCTTTAGATGGACTCTAAATTCAGGAGAAATATAATCAAGTCATATTTTGGCTCATGGAATTGTTTTCATTGTCTTCAACTTCTACTTGAACTTGCGATGAGCATTTGATGGTCTGTTCCACAATCAGTTCCTGGCCTTGTTTTGGCTGACCATATTGAGCTTCTCCATCACCTCTTGCCACAGATCTAGTCTGCTTTCCTTTGTATTCCATCTGGTGAAGTCCACATGCATAGCCGCTGTTGTGTTATTGAAAAAAGGTATTTGCAATGAATAAGTCATTGGTCTTACAAAATTCTTTCATGCCATCTCCAGCATTAACTCTGTCTCCAAGGCTATGTTTTCCACCTAGCAGTGATTCTTCTTTGTTTTCAATTTTTGTATCCCAGTCACCAGTGATAGTCAACATATCTTGATTGCATGTTTGGTCAATTTCACACTGCAGAACTTGGTAAAAATCTTTAATTTCCTCATCTTTGGATTTGGTGATTGGTGCATAAATTTGAAAAATAGTAGCATTAACAGGTCTTCCTTGTAGTTGTATGGTTATTATACTATCACTGACAGCATTGTACTTCTGGACAGATCTTGAAACATCCTTTGTGATGATGAATGTCATGCCACATCTCTTCAAATTGTCATTTCTGGCATAGTAGATCATATGGTTATCTGATTCAAATGGCCAAAACTGATCCATTTCTGCTCACTAATGCCTAGGATACAGATCTTTATGTGTTCCATTTCATTTTTGACAACTTCCAATTTTCCTAGATTCATATTTTGTACACTCCAGTTCCTCTCTTTGACTATATGGATATCTATGTCATAACTACCTAATAGATTGACCACAGAAACATATTCTGTGTGTAATAAAAACAATAAATTCAGTGTACATAATAAAGACCAAACAATTTCTACCCTTTGAATCTGAAAATTTTCCTTAGTTTGAAATTATGAAACCAACCTGTCAGCATATAGGAGCTTCTCCATCACTTCTTGCCACAGAGTAGCTAAAGCAATACCTTATGAATGAAAGCAAGAACCTAGTATATTTTAAACAATATTGTTTCCTTAAGATATAAATAAAAAGCAACTATTCTTTATTGCACTAGTATATGATTAATTAAAAGATTTGTTTTCTTGAGGCTATGAGCTCAGCACACAGATTAAGTATACTGAAATGTTACAATACTGACATACACACTTCCTGATGTACCATGTGGTATCCTCATGTTCTGTACAAAAGACAGCTTCTATGCCTACATACAAGTTCCACATGAGAACAACTAAGTGTTCTGTCATTCCCATTCTTCACAATGTTATCCATAACTTGTCATGACCCACACATTCCAAAACCTTTGCACACTCAATAAAACACAAATAAATCTCTCTGGTATTCTTTGCTTTCAGCTAAGATCCATCTGACATCAGAAGTGATATCCCTTGTTCCACGTTCTATTCTGAATCCTGTCAATATACTGCTGCAATAATTTTTAAATTATCTTCAGCAAAATGTTAATTGCTTGTGATATTAATGATAATAGCTCAATAATTTCCAATTCTGTTAGATTACCTTTCTTTGGAATGTGCACAAATTTGATCTCTTCCAGTTAGTTGGCCAGATATCTGTCTTGGCATAAATTAGTGAGCACCTCCAGTGCTGCATATTTGTTGAAACATCTCAGTGAATATTCTATCAATTCCTGGAGACTTCTTTTCCACCAACTCTGTCAGTGCACCTTGGATTTCTTCCATCAATACCATTGTTTCTTAATCATATGCTACCTCCTGAAACAGTTGGACATTGAGCAACTCCTTTTGATACAGTGACTGTGTATATTTCTTGCATCTTCTTCCAATGCTTCCTGCATTGTTCAATATTTTGCCAATAGAATCCTTCAATATTGCAACTTGAGGCTTGAATTTTTTCTTTAGTTCATTCAGCTTGAGAAATGCCAAGAGTGTTCTTCCCTTTTGGTTTTCTAACTCCAGGTTTTTGCACATTTTAGTATAATATTTTGCTTTGTCTTCTTGA